TGTGCGTGTGCGTGTGTAGCTCAAAGATGAATGCAAAGGGACACCAGACACCTGGGTTACGGTAATGTAATCATAGTATTATTACTGTTACTACTATTATTATTATCACTATCACTCAATTACTACACTATTAGTAACTGAGGACCTATGTATGTTTAAAATACTGAAACTGTAAAAATCATCAATTACAATGTATTGTTTCTTCCTTACTCAAAACATTGCTTTCAGTTATTTCTTATAACTTGGGTTTATGGGCAAGAAAAACCGGCATGAAATTCAGTATTTGATAGTTTTGATATGTAGAGATATTTCAGTATAGTACATACCAGCATCTCAGAATAAGATATATGTGATATTTATTTTAAGTTCCATTCAATCTACCATCGCATATGTAAAGGCATGGGCACTACATACGCTGGGGAAAGTGCCCAGTAACACAGTAGTCGCTGAATGATACGTACTTGTCTCTAGGCTAGAACTCAGGACTTAATAACATCCATGCTAACTATATGAGTTAAGTTGATTAATACTTCAAACGAGATGAGCAAACCAAATACAAATAAAAAAAAATGCTACCGTTTATTTTTTCCCACCTCTTGGAATAACCAAAATCATCTTTCATCTTTTGCAAGAGCAAATGTTTTCATTATATAATGGGTATTAAAACTTTCCAGACGTTTAATAATGTATATGGTGGATTTCTGGCTTATAATGGCTGTGAATTAATGGTATTTGATTCATTCTCACCTTCCATCCAACCCAAAACATTAAAAAATGCAAAGGGTAGGCTGGAAGGAAGTAATGATCAGTTGCTCCTTCACTAACTCAAGCACAGGTGCCCCCTTTTATTTTTACTAATATCACAATATCCACAGGAAACTTATATGTGAAAATATAATTAAAGCTAGCAATGACATCATGTTTTCTATGTGCTAGCCCCGTATCTGAGAAACGTACATATTCTAAATAATACTGAGATCACGTCCAAATTACATCCTAGGTACTATTATCATAGCTAATATGTAGAAAAGGAAACAGACACAGAGGTCAGGCAACTTGCCAAAGGTCGCACAGGTAGTTAAGCAGTGGAGATGGGATTTGAACACAGATTCTAGTAGAATCAAAGTTCTTAACTAATACAGTGTGATCATAAAAATGGTCCTTTTTGAAAAATATTTGAGGACTTCATGGGGGGTAGTGCCGCTGACGCCTTTGCTATTTGAGATATTATTCGCTTTTGATTTTTGAAATGCGTATCCCACCTTCATCTTTGTTGACTTCTCTTCTTCAGTTATTACCTGTTTTAACTCTTCCAGACCCTCAATTGTCAAATCGACCAGCATTCTAACATTGTATCAACTTCATAAAACATGACTCCTTTGAAACTCCAGTTTTGCTTTGTGATACATTTGCACTTTATAGTTGGATATTCTCAACGTATAAAAATCAGCCTCCAGCTGAAAGACTAAACGACAGGTGCTGACGTTCACATTAATGTGCGGAAGCAGTGGATCAAATGAGATCTACTTCCCTGATGGGTCAGCTCATCTTAGCAAATACTTTCTCGCTGTGATAAGCTGCTAACTGTGATACTGGAGGCCTTACCCCCTTTCTGTTGCTTTTTATTATGTCTTTTTTCTCATCTAGAAAGGCCTCTAGGTTCTAATTTCCTTGAAAATCTGCAAGAGAAGCTTTAGAATACATAGTCATTATGTGGAGTAAGAATAAAATGTGTGCAGCCAGCTTTCACACTGCATTTATAAAACCTCAAGGCCAAATTATGTTCTTTAATTTTTACTTGTCATTGGCAGTATCTTAGAGTTACACATCACATTTTTGCTAATAAGACCTTGTAAATTATTAACAGACACCATTATGGTTCTTTCCCTTTTACTCTTTTATTTTAAATTATTTTCAAATTTGGTCTTAAATTATGAGATCATATGTTTCCAAGTTTATTATTAAGGTCAGATGTATTATTGGTTATACTACTTGGCATATAGGTGCTTAAAATGCACCTGTAACCTAAAAATACACAAATCCAACACAATATTTGTGCTAGAAATACATTATGTCTTTTCCAGAGTGCCTGTTAGAATCTTCTGGGTTTTTTAAATTTCATTAACTGCTGACAAAAGAGGTACTAACTTTTCCACTATTACTGTTGAAGGCGAAGTACTGACTTCTGCGGGATGCATGCAGAAGTTCATAAACATCACCTTCCCTGGTCCCGCCTTGTAGGTACCTCAGGGATGGCCAAGATATAAATGGGATTCTGATGATCCTTTCGACTCTTGCCTCGTAACTTTCAGATGAACTGGAAGGACACTTTTCAGATGTAACAGTGAGTCCAGATCAAAGGGAGCAGAGAAAACTAACCTAAACTTTATAGCAGGTGATTTTATTTTGGGTAGAGTTGTGTTCTCCCCAATGACATTTTAAAGCCTTAACCCTAAGTACCTCAGAATGTAAGCTTTTTTGGAAATAGGGTCCTTGAAGACGTCATTAGAGAATATAAGA